CCGGCACCGAGATGCGCCGCCTGCGGTTCCGGCAGTTCCGGTACCAGGAGGCGGCGGGGCCGCGGGACGTTTGGCGGCGGCTGCGGGAGCTGTCGCAGGGCTGGTTACGGCCGGAGGTGCGGAGCAAGGAGCAGATCATGGAGCTGCTGGTGCTGGAGCAGTTCCTCAGCATCCTCCCCGAGGAAATCCAGAGCTGGGTCTGGGTGCGACACCCCGAATCCTGCGCCCAAGCCGTGGCCTTGGCCGAGAGCTTCCAGCTGGGACAGGGGGATCCCGACGGGGTTTGGGAGCAGCAGGTGAGAGCGGCGGCCGAATCCTGCCCCGGGCCGGGGTTTGCAGTGGGCTGCCACCCTCCTGCCACCCCAAAACCGGGTGCAGCCCCCCTCCCCCAGCACCGCTTCCGAGCTCATTCCCAAGGGACACCCCAAAACTGACCCTGGAGAGGCACGGGGGGGTCCTGGGCACCCAACTCCCCTCCGCAGCCCCTGGGTGCTCCTTGGGTCCCACAGGTGACGGTGCGCGTGAAGGTAGAGGAGGTGGCCCCAGGGGACGTGGAGGACCCCGAAGTGGGTGGGAACCCACCAAGCCCCCCATCAGAGTCACCCCAGCTCCCCTCCGGGGACAGCTGGCGGGAGGAGACGGCTCAGGGCAAAGTCAAGTTTGTCCCTGAGGAAGAGGAGCGGCACCTGCAGGAAGCAGGTAAATGGGCAGCAGACCCTTTGCCCCCCCACCAAAAAAAAGGGTCGAAGAAGCTGCTGTGGGAGGCAGGGGGGCTCAGGGGTGGTGCCGTGTCTCCGGCAAAGGGCTTGGTCTGGTCTGGGCCTCCCCACGGACATTCCCATGGTGTCATTGTGCTTTTTTGGGGTGGTTGTGTTGCTCTTGGTGGAGGATGTGTGAGAGCGAAGGGGGGAAAGGGTCAGAAATGAGGTCCTGGTGCTGGGAAAACTCTTGGGGTGTTGAGGAAGGAGAAGGATGTGACCCCCACGAAGGATCCAGATGGAGACTCCTGCAGCGGTGCCACCACCGGTGATCTCGAGCCCTGTTGCGGTGGGAGAAGAAAGGTCTCCGTGGGCTCAAAGGCCAAACGGAAGCGAGAAGGGCTGCGAGACCTGTCAGAGGTGTCCGCACCCGTGTGGAAGCTGGAAGATAGTCGTGTCCTGAGTTGCAGAGAGGTTGAAGGGTGGAGATCTTGGAGTGAAGATCAGGAGTGTCTGTGGAGATCTCTTCTTCTCCCTGTTTGTCCTCTGGAAACCATGAGCCCCCAAATCTTGTTCCCTTCCTCCACCATCATTTTCTCCTTCCCGGTGCTGCTGGAAGCGCTGCTTGAAGGTGTTGGAGGGTGGTGGGCTCCTCTCCGAGTCCTCCTGCAGCCATCCTTGCTCCTTGGGCTGGCTGGGCTCCTCCGCTGGGGTGGCTTCAAATTCTTCCCTCTCCTGGCATGGCCCGATGGCCACCCAGGGACGGATTTGGGGTTTTGCTCAACAGTGGGAGCTTGGCCATCTCCACCAGTGCTGGAGATCAAGGGCAGTGGGGTCAGAGGAGAAGGGTCGTGTCCTCCGTTGAGAACCAACCCATGAAGCATCTTCTTCCCCTCGGCAGGTCCCACCACAGCGAGCAGAGACCTAGAGGTGTCCGTTTTACAACTGCAAGACCCCCCACACCCACCCAGCACCCTCCAGGGTGTCCCAACAGCCGGGACCCCTGCCCGGAGAGGGACCCACCGGCAACAGACCCCACAGGATCCCACCACCTTCCCACAGCCCCTCACCCAAAGCCCACCTGGACCGGCAGAGGATGCCAGGAGCCCGGAGAAGCCCTGGGTGAAGCGGGAGCTGTCGGCGCAGGGGAAGGACCGTCCGTACCCCTGTGGCGAGTGCGGCAAGAGCTTCGGCCGGTTGACCCACCTGAAGACCCACCAGCGAACCCACACGGGCGTGAAGCCCTACGCCTGCGGGGCTTGCGGCAAGAGCTTCGGCCACCTCTCCACCCTCACCACCCACCAGCGGCTGCACACGGGCGAGCGTCCCTACGCCTGCGGCTCCTGCGGCAAGACCTTCACCAACCCCTCGGACCTCAACAAGCACCAACGGTCGCACACGGGCGAGCGGCCCTACCCCTGCGCCGCCTGCGGCAAACGCTTCAGCCAACAGTCCAACCTCACCATGCACCAGCGGAGCCACACCGAGGAGCGGCCCTACCCCTGCGGTGCCTGCGGCAAGAGCTTCAAGTACTTGGCGGACCTGACGGTGCACGAGCGCTCGCACACGGGCGAGAGACCTTTTCCCTGTCCCCACTGCGGGAAGAGTTTCAGCAACAAGTCCTCCCTGGCCCGGCACACGCGCATCCACGCCCGGGCGGCTGCCAGGGACAAGTGATGGGGTTTGGTGACGGGGAGGATGAGGAGGCGGCGCAGGGTGGCCACCACGGGGGGATGGTTGAGGCTGGGTGGGTGGGATGGAGGTGGGGGACCCCTTGGGTGGCCGGTGGTGGTTTCCTTGCCGGCCAGCACCACGCAGCTGCTGCGGGTGGGCTGATTTGCCCAGAGGAGATGCAACACGGTGATGAGTTGGTGCTTGATGTCCCCCACATGCCCAGTGGCTCCAGGACGTGGCTCACTGGTCCCAGGGATGTGACATGGATGGGGATGAAGATGAGCTGATGACTGATGGCCCCCACGAGCCTGGGGACTCCAGGACGCTGTGTCCTAGAGGTGTAACACAGCTGGGGATGAAGAAGAGCTGATGGTTGATGTCCCCACGAGCCTGGTGGCACCAGGACGTGGCTGCCTGCTCCCGGAGGAGCAACATGGACGGGGATGAAGATGAACCGATGGCTGGTGTCCCCCAAGAGCCTGGGGGCTCCCTGGTCCTTCACCCGTCTCTAGGCACATCCACCTCCCCTCACCCCAACCCCGCCACTGGGACGCCCCA